GCTGGGAGTGTATATCAGAGCAGCAAAAAGATGCATTGTATTCTACCGCTGCTTAGCAACGCAAATATGTACAGAACAGATGAGAAAAGAATAGAAGAGGGTTAGCGCCCTGGGTCTGATGAGAACGACATCCATTCAGTCAGTAGCCTGTGCACTTACGGAGTTGGAGTCACGAAGTATGTAAGGTCAGCATGATAAGGGTAAATACATTAAGATGTGGACTTAACTGCGTGTTTCACGAACAAAGTAGAAGTCTACTCCGGAAAAGCGTGAGCATAAAAAGCGTTGCTTATTGATCAGTCTGATACAACGTGGGAACGCTGGAAATCTCATTAGATAATGGTACCCAAGAGAGAAAAGATAACGTGACCGCAGAAGCCAATAGCAGACTCGTACGAGTAAAAGCAGATGAGAAAAATGGTGAGAAAGGTGAACAATAAGACGGAAGAAAAGATTAGTGCTGAGAATGCCATAAGTAGACGACTCCCTGATTGTCTACTTCGATAGAGGAGTCATGATGGAGGTATCTAAATCTCTAAACACTGACTCACAAGAGAGTGGACTTTATATATATATATATATATATATATATATATATATATCTTGAAAGCAAGCTGTGGTACAGGAATTGTCATCGGAATCCTGACTGAATAGGAAAACAATATGAATAATAAGAAATTAACAACAATAAAAGCTTTTCTGTCCAGTTTGCCAATTTTTAAAACTTTTAATTTGTTTTTTATGGGGAGGGAGGGAAAGCGCAACACACTGATGCACATGTCCGCCACTGACATCGATCCTGAGTCATGGCTTTCAAGGTCTTCAACTAGCAAGTATCTGCATCTCTCGGATCCCAACAAGGCAGAAAATAACAACCGGCCGAAAACAACTGTTTAGTCAGCTTTTTCATGCGGCTAAGTAGTAGGCTGTCCACCAGACCGTCTGATCCTACCTTGTCCAGCAACCGCAAACAATGCATGACGCGGGTAACGTTGAACAAGCATGTGTAATACGTGTCCAAGCCACCGCGGTTGATGAAGTGAGACAGGTCCAGCGAATGTGTGACATCCTCGGCCCAAAACACGTTGTCTAACTTCCACTGTGCTTACGTAGGATGCCGAAACCACACACGGGCAATGGACCGCAGACAGCGGTGCTCGAAAACGAATAGCCCGCGCAAGTTGTTATTATGAATGGGCTATATCACGCATCCGTATAACAGTACAGCGCGGACAGCTGCACAATAGACACATCCTTTGATGGAAATGTTGTGGCGACGCCACAAGTGCTTCAGCCTAGAAAAAGCAAGGCGTGCTCTTGAGATGTGCATCAAAATCTTGTCTCCAACATCTCCACTAGCAGTAATGCAACTTCCAAAGTAGACAAAGATCTCCACAACCTCCAGTATTTCACCACCAAAATTGAGTGCAAACACAGGCACCTAACAGTCTTAAAAGAGAACGTTGCATCTGGATGACGAAAAGTACATACCATACTTTGGGGCTTCAATCGCCAAGCAGTTTAGTGAATTTTGGAGGGCCAGTGGATAGTCACCCAGCAAGACGATATCATCGGCATGGTCCAAATCAACAGCTCGATTACTTGGTAGAAACTCAACGAGAGTGTTCAACAAACCGACCAGAGCATCCTTTAGGACATCCTCAATGGCAAAATTGAATAGGAACGGAGAGATAGAGCACCCTTGTCGAACTCCACCGGACAGTATTAGTGTGCTCACACGTTTGTTAACCAAGAACCGTCGTGTTTGATGTAGACGGCAGCAAACCGAACGGTTGTTTATCGTGATAACAAAAGTTCAACTTATCTGCAAACATGTTCTCGGAAGCTGCGTGGTGCGCAATTGTATGAAGGCTTGTCAAACGTGGCTTCAGTGTTGCTTTCTAGCGTGCATCTATCTGCAACTGAAAATGGTTTCCGTTTTGATTCATTCAGGTCCGGTTTCCTTAATACTCTCATACTGCTGATTAAAGACGCGGTAGTATGTGCCTTTGGTTTACCAGGGACAAATCGTGGTGCCCTTCCAGTGTCAAAGGTATCTCGGGACACTTGTGCTCTACGCCAAGCGATCTGAGTTCATAACACATAGACTGTGGTATCTAATGGCCAAGATCTTAAGGAAGATGGTCAATGAACTTTCCACAGTATCCAGTAAAGAGGATACCGATAGACAACCGGTAACCTGTCCGGAGAGAATGGCATTGAATCCACTTGGATTACAGAATCACAGAGGTGTGCAAACCAAGGCACTCTGTTAGAATCTAGTCTCGTTAAGTTGGCATTCACGACCAAAGCATCTATTAGATGGTGTGTGGTAAGGGAGAATGGATGCCTGGGACATCTTCCGTAAACTACTTTGACAACACTCAACGGAGACGCATTCAGAGATAGGCATTCGCAGAACAAGGTCAGGAAGTAGAAACACATTTGCAGATGTGATTCGACTTCGTTTGACAACATCAATAAAATAAAAGCTGATTTCGTGCTTTCCCATTTAGCCGCTTACAGACAAATCGTGGAAAGAGTAAGGGAAGTTGTTTTGTTAGAACATATCGAATATGCTCTGAAGAGTCAATCGAGACTGAATTACGATACATCGAGTCTACCCTACGCAATAACGGCGATCCGAACAAATTTGTTACCAGATATGGAAACGAGGCAACTAAAAACGCAAAGTGAATGGATGTCCCAAAGAAAAATGTCTTCCTCAGGCTACCATGCAAAGGGGAACAGAACGACAGAAGATAATGCTACCGATTACGCCAAGCCATAAAAAGGTGCTGCTAGCAGCTGAGCTCGTGTTGTTACATCAAAGCAAGAAGCTGTTCCATGAATCCAACTTGAAAAAACCACGCTTTCAGGTTACCGCCACATGTGTTTACCAATTCACCTGTACTTGTGACATTAGGTACATTTGCCGAACCGAGAGAAGGCTATCAGCTAGGATCATGGAAGATGTTCCACGGAACTTGGCAACTAGTGGCACTAAACTTTGTGCCAGCTCAATCGCTCAGCATCTGCTCGATTACACCTTGTGAGAAAACCCAAGTGACGCATGCAAGGTTATCAGCAGACAGAACAACGCGAGCATGCTCCGTTTTGCTGAAGCCTCCGCCACCCACGGAATGAAACCTAAGCTTTACAAACAGCTCGACCTTGTGGCTAATCTTGCCTTGTTTTGGCGAGACGTAGACGAGGACCTAGATTTTCTCAGTGTTTTCTTGATTCCCTTATTGATCCCCGTTTCAACTGCATTCCTTTACTCTTCCAATGAGTTACTAATAAGTGGCTGATAGAGAAGATCCGAAATAATCTGAATTCAGATTATCACGCAAAAACATTGTCCGTTCTTGCTCTCTTTAAATTTCTGTAAGGAAATGGTTGCATGAAAGGATTAGGTGTCAGCTGTGGAATGCAGTCCAATCAATGATGCGCGCAAGGCCGGTGCAATCGATAATGGTGAAGTGGCTCAAAACGATTCCACAATTCAGAGTACACTTTATGCACAAAAATGATTGAGGTGATGAAGACCAGTGTATAACTGTTGAGATGGACAGGCGAGTATCGAAAGATTGGAGCGGAAAGTAAAAAAACCATCAATAATGAAAAACAAGAATAGAGGCATAGCGAGGACGAAAAGTCACGGATGTGTAGTGCCCACTTTGGGTATAGATTACGAGCGATGTTTTCTATGGTCCCCAGTGAAACAGATTAGGTAGCGTGAGACCCGGCCTACACGGTGAGATAGACTAACAGCAGCAAGGCCATCTCACACGGTGGGATCAAAGACTGTTCCTCGAGCCATCCAAAATGAGAGGCATCTGTTTCCGTCGCTAAAAGGTCGAGTGCACTAGACCTACGGTCGATCTGCATTGTTGCATGAAAGTGGCTCTTGGCAACTTCGCGTGAATGAAATGTATCAGTCCTCAGTGTCCAATAGCGGGTCGTTGAGGAGCTGGGTGGTAATTCCGAGTCCGTAGTGACGAGGTTAGGCGTTGCATCTCAGGTAGTTATACAATCAATAAGCGTTTTGCTATACTGATTGGAGTAGACGTATTAAGGTCCAAGCGTGTCATACAAGCGTATATTCCATCGCGCTATATTCGCCTGTGTAGGAGTCGGTTTGAAGAGACCGCGTGATGGGCAGCCATCCAGCTGGTGACAGAGCATGAAGTTGCTGGTCAGTCTTTGCTGGATCCTAGTGTTTTCCTGACTGGGAATGCCAGAGTGGGGAATCCCAGTGACAAAAACAGTAAAAAAATCTGGTGTGCGAAGAATGCTTGGTTTGGATTTTAATAACAGCTGCACTTAACACAAGCTTGTGATTTCCGTGGTCTTTTGTTTTACATTTATGTTGCTAAATGCATCAACAGTGCTCCGGGTACACAGTACCGACGCTTCGCTGTTGCGCCACCACCAACAGTAGCGAGTGGGTTGAGGATACTGCGAGGGTCGTCCAGTCCCCTAAGCAGGCTCGAACCCGCGTCCTCAGATTACAAGGCAAGTCTGCGATACTTAAGACCACGGATGGGCAATGTAGGTATAGATAAGACAAACAGAAGAAAGCCCTGCAGGGTAATCGGTGGGCAGATGTAATGTGGTAAATAACCAATTCAGAAAGAAGTTCGATACCGTTTGCTGATGCAACGAACTGGCTTGATTTATGCCGCATAGCACTCGTCTGCACACTTCACCAGACATAAAAGATGCTCCGTAGATGTTGATGGTTAAAGACAGGAATGCGCTGAGACCCGTCAACGTGAAGTAAAGAACAGAGTAACTGCAGTCCTGTATTCGCGGCTCGATTATGAAAGAGGTTTGCGCAGCAGTTGCATAAAGTACAACACGTGAACTAATATCGGTAAACAGTATTCAGCAACAAAATATGTGCATGAAAACGGCACTGAGCAAAAATGGTATGGAGGACGAAAGAACAGAAGCTGCTCAATACGGAAACGCAGGCAACCAAATGGGGAACGCACTCATATTTGCCCTGACGCATCCAATGTTCTACATCCTGCAACAGCATCAACTCTTCAGCCTGGCGCGCTTTAAGTGGATCGATACCCCGGGCGTGCATCGCTTCGTTGAGTAACTCGGTGACTTTAGGGTTTTGTGACACATCTGATGCTAGCTCCATTTCACAGCTGAGGAGAGATAAATCCGCTCCATTATCGAGTAGCAGTCTGTGGAGAGTGAATTAAAGAAGATAAATAAAGTATGGTGAAACACAAACAAATTGAGACGATGGTTGGGATAGGAAGCACAGTATTATGTAAAGGTGCAGACAATCTAGGCGTATGAACTAAAGCGAAGCCACAAGACCCGGTTGCGTATGAGGCGAAGACGCCGAGGCAAGGACGATGAACCAAACTAGTTCGAAAACAAGGCCAACCGTAAGACAAAAGAAATGAGCACAGTGTGCAGTTGAATATTCGCTCTACATGGGCACATAAAGCACATTGTTGATTTGAATTGACATAAACAGTGAGCGCAAACCGCCCTGAGTACTGCAATCTAAAAATTGCTTCCTGTCCACAAATACTGGGACATGAGTTCACGGGATACCTCTGGGTAAGATGGTTCTGAACATACGTCGAGAGATGGTTACTGTGTAGTGTTAGGCTGGCACAAGTATTGGCCCGATCAGCCAAAAAGACACTTAGAAAGCAATGAGAAAGCAGCACGCATCCGTGTGAAATAGGAGAGATTTAGATAGAACAGATGGCACTGCTACGCGAAGCATAGCCGCTGTAATAAAACAACTGGTGACACATGTTGCAAAAAGCAATTAGATCCCTGTCGATGTTCCAAAAATCAACGGTACGAGTTTGCGCCCGAGGTTCCCAAATGGAAAGAATACAGGGAGTTAAAGGGAAGGACAATAAAAAAACAATGCCTGTGAAATATCGGCGCTGACCGCACAAGCATAGCTGCTGAGCTACAAAGAGGAAGGGGTGCTCCTGACAAACGTGCATTTCGGAACACGAGTTCAACCTACATCAGTGTTCAAAACTCCAGAATATATATATATATATATATGAAATGAAATGAATGAAATGAAAAATGAAATGTGTCAGCTTATACGCCGTAACGGCGCTTCGCTGCCGCGCGACTACCACCAGTCGCGCGCGGGCTGAGTATACCGCGAGGACGCCCACCCCTACGCGGATTCGAACCGGTGACCTTATGGTTGGAAAGTAAACGTGCCGACCACTCGGCCACCGGCCGACTATATATATATATATATATATATATATATATATATATATATATATATATATATATACATATATATATGTATGTATATATCCGTGGAGGAGCAGTATGCTATCCGGCGCAGCCCCAAATTGCGGATTAATGAACTTTCCTTGTGGAGATAACTACGAATAAATTAAGTTTGTTTTGCAGCCGAGATGAATATGCAGTCGCGCGCAATAATCCGCAGCATCTCACAGCATGGGGTTCTGGGCCAGTCACTTCGTTCGCCATCAAATACCACAAGGGCTTGGACGGCGCTGTGTCAATGCCACGGTGACCGGCTATGGGGTCACTGACTACTCACTTCGGTAACCAGAGGTAAGTAGCTAACCTAGTGTGGATCACGAGCACTTCAAAAGTATCTTCGAATCAGTCATTATCCGTTGTGCCAAGCATTGGCCGTCGTGACCCGGTGGTCAAAGAGGTAGAGGTTTGGGTCACTATTCCCATGGCCCCGGGTGCGAGGCTTGCTATCCCCACCTGATGAGATCAGATGAAATCGAAACGCGTCGCGATGTGCAGTGTTGTCGGACAGGCAACACCCGAATCTCATCTGCTTCGGTTACGATCCCAGTGTTCACACTGATCAAGGTTCACTTCAAAGTGAATCGCGGTATATATTGAGGTAGCGCGTCGCAATTCATGCTCACACAACGCGTATCTCAAAATGACCCACTTAATCTTCGGTTGGATGTTTCCTAGGCTAAACGCAGGTTGCGTATTAGTTCAAACATAGTCCGCTTGCAAAGTTGACAGTACCACTATTAGTCACGCATCCTGAATGCCTAAAAGTTCATCCACAGGTTTCTCAGCAAGCTAAGCTGAATACGACGAATACTCTGCATACATGAATCTTGGAACTCACTGTGGCATTATCCACAGTGTCCGTGCCAGCCACTTTTTGATATTCGCTATGTATTGTTTGAGGCTGGCACGCCGAACTATCTCCGCATAGTGCCCGGTAGGTGGTGGTCCGGGTTTATCCCGTTCCACTAAATGATCCGGCGGACGCGTTTTAGGAAGTGGTGGGTTTTCGCATGACAACCGTTCTAGCTATGAAAAACCGCGAATGTACATTAAAAAATCGTGGGTGTGACTCGGTAATAATTAAAATTCACAACTCCGTGATTCACCTCAGTGGACCAGCCAGAGAGAATAGACGCAGAGTGCATTGGGCGCCCCCGTTTGAAAAAATAATAAATAAATAATGTGTCAGCTATACGCCGCAACGGCGCTTCGCTGCCGTGCGATCACTACCAGTCGCACGTGAGCTGAGTATACCGCGAGGACGCCCAACCCTACGCGGATTCGAACCCGCGCCGCAAGATTACGAGACAAGCTCGTTACCTCTAGCCTACGGGTCGACAACTCTCCCAAGCAAAGCTATTTGAACTGTTGCTGACTCGCAATGGGTGCTCCATTCCCTGGCTGCCCCCCGCCAAAAGTTCGGAGTTGTCCTTTAGGTCAGCTCCCCACTTCGTCTTGGGCAACCAAGTAGTACTACGCTAGCTGAAAAACTACGGATTCTTTTGTGTTGTGTTCGATTTTCTTTTTATAATAACTCTTTGATTTCCATGGTTTTTGATGGCTTTGTTTCTATTAATATTGCTGAAAGCATATTTATCTACTAGCTAGTCTACAGCAAAGTAGCAAACAGCCCGTTATGCTCTTGAATATTTACTGGGCAACGATTCGTTTCGAAGTGGAGGGAGAATCGTCAACGTTTGGTGAAATTCTGTAACATAATGCTCATCAATTGTGTCCTGGCAAAGGGAGCTAAATCCACTCATACATGGAAAACAAAGCGTTTACACTAATGGTTTTAAATGTACCTCGTACAAGATCATCGGACCATATATACTAGACTGTCCCGACTTGCATAGCAAAATAATATCTGTTAATATTATCAGTAGTAGTATTAGCATAAGTAAATACGCTGAATAAACCTCAAATGCAGCCTGGCATATATTGCGAGGGAGTACATCTACGGGAATCGTTATAATGCGAAGTGAGTGATAGTTGGGTAGGGATGACGACGGATCCGCTGAAGATACAGGATGAGAAGTTTAGCCAGCACGTTGAATGCCACTCCGCAGAGTCCAACGAGATGATATTGAAGTAGGAAAACAAACTTCACAAAGCCAAGACCCAAATGTAAGTGAAAATAATACTAGACCCCTGCGACCCGAATGCGATGAGTGAGATAATACACAGAGAGGGGCTACCGCACACGACTGATAATGCGATATCCGGTATAGTTGGTCTAGTTACGATGTCCCAGTATGCCCTAGCTGTAAGCCAGGGGGTCGGTAAAAGCGGAGCATGTTGCGCGGCGGACCTCTAAAACCACACACACAATGAGTTATACAACTGATATGCGATATCCCCAAGGCGAATCAATAAAGAGGCGTGAGTTAAAATACATCACTTAGAGAAAACCAGCATGAGCGTACACAGGCTGCTAGAGAACACGATGTCGTGAGAGTGCATACGAAGAGTGCATGCGAACAGAATGACGACGGCACGTGATCTGCAACGGAAAAGAAGCCATGACCCCAGAGGAACTGTGTGCGTGTCTATAGCAGATATGCGCGCAACGGAATGTGATACAAGCGACAGCGAATGTACCGAAAAGGGGCGGCAAGCATCAGTGCAAAAACGCAAACGCAAATACGGAGAACACCAGTGACCAGGGCGAAAACACTGGCGCAATGTCGATTGATTTGCACTTGCTTCGAGGCTCGTCACGTGGACAAACACATACACACACATCGGCAAAAGGGAAAATGTCGTTGGAAGGAGGAAATCATGCGGAGGGTTGCAAAAACAAATGTAAAATTAACAGCTGTAAACTGGAAAACTGGCTGCAAAATGGAGCGCGTGCATTAAGAAGCGTGAGAGAACGGTGACAAAGTTGGGTATGACCTCTCTGTTCTGATAATCCAAAGCCCTACTTGACGTATGTAATGAAAAGAGGATGAATAACTTAAGTTTAAATGTTGTTGAAATACCAAAAGTCGTTTACAATATATTCTAAAGTAGTCGTAAAAGCATGTTTCCGTAATAGAATTGATTCATTGTGCGTGTTTTCATAGGCGCTATCGAGGTCCATTAGAAAATCGTTCCGCGTCACAGCAGGAGTAGTTAAATGCAGTGTGCCCGTAGCGGATAAAATAACCGTCTACTAAGGAACAGACAACTGTCTCCGTGAGAAGCTGAGAGTTGTCAGAGCAACTACATCCGCATTGGCGGAATACGCTCAGACCGCTGCTACCGCAGATAGATATGGTGATTTCCAAGGCGCGATGTGTGGATGTGTGTGTAAATATGTGAGACAGCGTGAACGCCGGCGGAATGCGCAAAGTTAGCCGACCACTAGTCCACGCTCTGACAACACATAGGACGCGTTGACTTAATGGAACAATACAATGGCGTCATTTTCCTGACAACGTTAAAGAGATCAGACTAAGAGTTGGAAAGCACCTACCACAGTCGAATGCAACACAGATTCAGAGCTAGGTGACACTCGGATCGATCTACCTTTCGATGGCACTGAGTAGAAGAGTGTTCAGTGTCGCACATTGACGCAGTGTGAGCAGAAAAAAAGCATCCGGAAAACAAATTCAGTGAGACGATATGTGGGTAATCGGATACCCTAATCTAATTGCGATGCAAGCAGATGAGTTCCATAAATTTGAATCGGACGGTTAAAAAAAAGTTCATCGAAAATGCGGAAAATGCACATAGTTCGTGGAAGACATGTTTACAACGTGCATTTGGAGCTCGATGATTAAAGAGGGCATATAATGGGAAGTTGCACGGGTAGTGATCTGTAGAAAGTAAGCACAGAAGATCCGAGAAATAAAAACCGACCAAAGGATAGAGGAAGCATAGATAAAACCAAAAAAGGCAAACCAATATCTTA